AGAACCTAGCCTAATGTCTAGTACGTCGAAGGCCTTCTCCAAATACAGATGGAGAGAATGGGCAAAAGCATGAATGACTCCCTGGAGAGAAGGAAAGGTGTTCACCAAATCCTTCTGTGCAGGGGTCCTTTACATGCCAAGGACCCTCGGCAGTCTACTGAGGGTGACAGACTCCTTCTCAGAACAGTGTTCTTAAAAATACAGTATGACAGCCCTGGCCGGTTTGGCTCGGCAGTTGGAGCGTCAGCCTGCAGTCCAGAGAGACCCAGGTTCAGTTCCCGCTAAGGGTGTGTACCTTGGTTGCAGTTTGTCCCCAGCCCGTGGCAGCCACTCGATGTGATCCTTTCACGTCGATGTCTCTCTCTCTCTCTCTCTTCCTCTCTCTCCCTCCCACTCTATCTGAACGAAAAATGTCCTCCGGTGAGGATAAAAAAAAAAAAAAAGAAACTCATTCCAAGAGAGATGATATTTTAACACAGGTGCATATTGGTTGTGACTAGTATTTCTGGTGTCCATCTTCTGAAACCTGGCTGGTGTTTGCTTCTCTCCCCTTTGAGCGCAAGCCTGCTTTACTCCTTGACTTTTACTTGTAGTGGGCTTAGTGCGGAAGCGACTGCTGACATAATTAATCAGTCACATTTTACTGAAGTTGCCAGTAAAAATTTGGCAAAGGAGAAAAAGTATTAAAAAATCAAACTCTGAAGTAAATTTCTCAAAAATTCATCTAATCTGTTTTATAACTATGACTTTTGTCAAATATATTACTACAACCACAGCTTCACTATTTCTATTTTATCATCATATGATCTAGCACCTAGCATAAGTGGTCATCAAATGTTTACTGAATGAGTAAACTGAGTGAATATAGATACGATTTAAAAAAATGGGATCTTTAGTTTTGTAATTTCACAACTTATCTAATTCACAGAGCTACTTTGGCAACATTCCAAAAAAGCAAACAATCAGAAACAGACGTACCTAATTGGGAACCCAAGAATGATGTTTCATACAAAGTTCTTTACCACAAAATCTTACTGTAATTCTGAATTCTATAACAATAATTTCTTGGATAGAAATAGATTGGCATTCATATGTACTTAGTTATCTTAAATAACCAGTAGTGTAGCCCTGGCCGGTTTGGCTCAGCGGTAAGAGCATCGGCCCGGGGACCAGAAAGTCCCCGGTTCAGTTCCTGCTAAGGGCACGTACCTCAGTTGCAGTTTGTCCCCAGCCCCAGTTGGGGTCGTGTGGGTGGCAGCCACTCAATGTGTCTCTCTCATGTCGATGTTTCTCTCTCTCTCTTCCTCCCTTTCTCCCTCCCATTCTATCTGAAGATAAATGTAAAAATATCCTCAAGTGAGGATAAAAAAAAAATAACCAGTAGTGTAAAAGTATAATTTTTATTACAACTGCTACATAGTATTTAGTTACAACAGATGTACAACTTTAAATGTCATTAAATGCACTTATGATATTAAACAAGTTCTAATCAATATTATAAATACAAAGTCTTCCATATTTAGCTATTACATTTTAGTTCACATGAGCAAAAAAGTAAAATTATTAAAGAATTAAGTATAGCCCTGGCCGGTTTGGCTCAGCGGTTGGAGCGTCGGCCTGTGGTACACAGAGACCCGGGTTCGGTTCCCGCTAAGGGCATGTACCTCGGTTGCAGTTTGTCCCCGGCCCTGGTTCGTCGTGCGGGTGGCAGCCAATCGATGTGTCCCTTTCACATCGATGTTTCTCTCTCTCTCTCTCTTCCTCTCTCTCCCTCCCACTCTACCTGAACAAAAAAATGGAAAAGTGTCCTCAGGTAAGGATTAAAAAAAAAAAAAAAGAATTAAGTATAGTAAATTTTTATTCTTGTCAAGTGAATTCAAAGGGCCATCACAACATGACATATACTTTTGTAATTATAATGTAAACTGTGTGTGTTTTGTTTTTATAATTCTCTATTGTCTACCACCTAAGCCAGAATTCTCCTAAATTCCCAATGGGTTATTTAAAATTTTCAGTTATATTTTATGGGAAAAGTTAAATATATAATTTTGATTTGTTTTAAACTGGGGAATTCTGATATATTAATCAAAGTTTACTGTACTTATAACAGAATGGTTCCATGGTCTTTTTAAACTAAAAATCTTTATAGTCACTCACATCAAATGCTCCTCTAGGCAAATCTGCACGAAAATCCATAATCCATATAGTACTATCCCATCAAATGCTTATTCTAGAGCTAATTTTCATCATTGTTTATAGTGTTATTACTAACTTGAAATTAAAATGTAATACTCACTTCATCAGCCACAAACTCCTTACTCAGCCCAAAATCTGTCAGCACCACGTGGCCATTAGAATCAAGCAGAATATTCTCAAGCTTAATGTCACGATATATAATCCCCAACTGTAAAAACAAATAAATATGCATTTAAAAATAACAATTTCCAAAAGTCTTTCTTCTCTACCTTATAAACAAACCCTAAAATGGCACTCTCTTGCTCAGGGTGCTATGACGGGTCTTAGACTGAACAGGACGAATATAAGTTCCTTCATCTGTGGGCTCATCTGCTGGGTTCCCTGGACCCCTCTTCATTCTCTCGGTAATGAGGGCCCATTCCTGCTGGACCTGAGTCTGCAGGGTGTCCCCAATGACTGCTGCTTCTTCCTGTCTTTGTTCTCTGTCACAGAGTCTACCCTCCCTCCAGATGATCTTCAGGTGCTTTCTCACTGGTTCCCGTCCTTCACTTCCCTGACGGCTTCCGAATGTCTTCCAGGCTAACCCAATCCCACACTGCTCAAGTCTTTGTTTCCACTCCTACAGCACTTCCAAAAACACTCCCGTTTTTGTCCCTGCCTGAGAAACTCAGTGCTGGCAGCTCTATCAAGACTAACACAACTGGCTTTGTGTTATACTACTTTGTATGTATCTTTTTAGGGTATTAAGATTAAGAGAAGCTCACTGAGATCTGACCTGCTGGATTACTTTCACTCCATATCAATTACATTTATATCCAGTGCACAGCATGTTCTCTACTTCTGTGTTTCTGATTACCCTGTTTCAAGAATGTTCACGGATTTTCCTTTAATAAACAGAATTAAAGCTTTCACACAAATTAAAAACTGAATTTACTAAGTTTTCCCATCAGAGCTCTGTATTCTGTTAGTTTTTACTCTGGAATTTATGGTGATTTCCACCATCATTTTCATGACATAAAAAACTACATCTAAACTCCTAACCATAAAACGCAAAGATCTTTTCTGCTTATTCCTGGGCCCAATTTGGTCGATGTATAAAAAGATACCGTAACTACTTTATAGCCCACAAAAATAACGGTAGGCATAAAGCTTGTCACCACACCCACAAGTCTATGGAAACAGAGATGTCCGTCCGTCCCCACCATGGCAGTTCAGCTCCCTCCCTCTGGCTCCCCCTTCCTCTCCACAGCCCTGCAGCCCTGCCCGCAGGGCCTTTTCTCTTTCCCTCCCATGGCTGTTCATTTTCCATTCACTCCCCTTAGGATTCCCATTCTGACCCTGGCCAGTTTGGCTCAGCGGTTAGAGCATCAGCCCTCAGACCAAAGAGTCTCGGGTTCGATTCCAGTTAAGGACAGGTACCTCGGTTGTGACTCAGTCTCTGACCTGTTCGGGGTCATGCAGGAAGCAGCCAGTCGAGGTGTCTCTCTCACATAGATCTCTATCTCCCTCATTGCCTCCCTCCTTCTCTATCTGAAGATAAATAGAAAAATATCCTCCGGGGAAGATTTTAAAAAAACCCAAAAGATTCCTATTCTGGACCCATCTCCCTCCACCTGCCCAGTCTCATTACTGTTCTGGGCTGGATATGCCCTTTTCTTGACCCCTCACTTCTTTTCTTGTGTCTTCTCATCACTCACAGCCTCTTCCATCCATTGCCTGCATCTAGCCATTCTAATCTCCCTGCCCCTTTAAAAATGTCATCCTTCATCCTGCCTTCCCCCTTCATTTCTCTCCGTTCTCTCCTTCTCTGTGCTGGTCTGTAAGCTGCGCAGGACCTGAGCACTGACAAGCAGAGTGGTTTACGGTGTGCCTGCCCACCCTAGCTCAGCGGGGCTGTGCTGTCCCCGCAGTCCCGCACGCCTCCGGCAGAAACGCTCCGAGCTCTCCATTCCTGAGGCACACGCCTGGCTACATGCTGACCCTGGCTACATGCTGACCGTCTGTGCCACAAGAATGCTTCCTCATTAAGTTAAAAAAAAGTTTTCTGAGTCAAAGTTTCTTGGATCAAGATTAATAGTATCTGAAACAGTATTTTTTAAAAAGTCTAAACCAGTTTTCTAGAGTTCAAACAGCATCACAGACCTGAACTTCACTGAAAGTCTTTAGTAACGGGCTCATGCTACATGGAGACGATGGGTGGGGAGTAAGAGACGGTCTCGGGGACAAAGGCTGGGAAAGAGAGCCGGAGTGGGGAGAGCCGGGAAGCCCAGGCAGGTGCTTCTTTCAGACAACTCAGACTCCCCGGCCCGGTCAGGAGAAGCGCTGTGAGGACGCAAGGCGGTCTGCTGGAGTAGGTCCCTGCTACGGAAACACACATGGCTTCTGCTTTAGTCCTGATGATTATTTTAAGGATGAAACATTTATTGTAATAACCATGTATGGTGCCGGGTGGGTACTGGAAATATCAGGGGAACATTCTGCTGCACACCTGAAACTAAGACAGACTGATGCTGAAGGACAAACAATTTTATTCTGATGATACTTTGTAATAAGCATTAGGATTTTCCATGGGGGAAAAAACTGCTCAGGTTCTACATTTTAAATCTGCATCACAGGAACTACTAAAGGAAAGTCGATTTTTAAAGAGAACTATGACATTGAGAAACTTGGTTAACAGGCTACAAGTGTGCTTTCTCAATGGCCACAACAACAATGCCACGTAAAAACATTAGCTCTTTTAGCTCCATCATGACGTCAGTTAGCAGTTTTTCAAAAAGAGAAACCCCAAAGGTTGAGCATCTTACCTTGTGGAGGTGTTCGAGGGCGAGCACAATCTCTCCAATATAGATCTGCACCTCGTGCTCTGTGAATCGCTCTCTTTGAGAAAGATGAGTAAAAAGTTCTCCACCATTTATATAATCTAAAAATGAAATATATTTTTTCTGTCTTTGACTTGTGTTCAGAAACTAAAGTATTCCTTTTAATCACTTTGGATTAACCATAAGGCACAGATTTTAATACATGATTTTTTGGTACAACTCTTAGTATATATACAGTTTCATATGAAATATACTACTAAATTCATATAGTAATACAGTTTCATTAGATAATGACTACCCTAAACTACAATCAAATGAATTTGCATAGAGTACTGTCATTAAATATTACACGAATTCAGCATATATTTAAATACAATTTCTCAAATACAGCGTATCAGAACCCTCCACCATCACCCACGGTACTGAACTTGCCATGGGGTACCGAAGCATCTGTAGCTCCAATGACGAAAATAAAAATGAACAGAACAAAACAAGACACGAAGGAGAAGCCCATCTCTCCTTTTTAACAGTCACTAGTTTTTGTTGTTGTTAATCCTGACCCAAGGATATTTTTTCCACTGATTTTTTAGATAGAGTGAAAGGGAGGGAGGGAGGAAGAGAGAGAGGGAGAGGGAGAGGCAGGGCGGGAGAGAGAGAAACATCAATGTGAGAGATACACATCGATTGGCTGCCTTCCGCATTGGGGGCTGGGGATCAAACCTGCAACCCAAGTATGTTCCCTTGACTGGGAATCGAACCTGAGACCCTTCGGTCTGTGGGCTAACAATCACTATTTTTAAGCAGACTCTCCATTTTCCAGAATTCCCTATGTACTCTTCCAAAAATGTATATTAGGTAGCAGGTAGCCTTCCCATTGCTCCTCAGAACCCAGAAGTAAAAGTAGCAAGACGTGGCCCAATCAAAACACCTAAGCTAAACGACTTCCATTCCCCTTTCCATTCCCTGTGTTATCTCAAGAGGAGTCATGAAGTAAGAGACAAAAAGGCTATATGAGAAATAAATGAAGAAACAACAACAAAAATCAACACAAGTACGCTCATAACGGGCTCTAATAAGACATTTATTGGCAAACTGATACTAGTTTCATGAGAAACTAACCACTGCCACCTTAAGACACAACATTCCTGTGTGTGAGAAACAATGTATATGCAGAAACTAGTCGCAGATATAGTTTAAAGCTTTTCTACTAAAAATAAGATGAAGAGCATGTATCACTAGCATATCCATTTGTTGAGCTTACCAAAATTTGATAAAAGGACAAAGCGAAACCTTCACGCACGCACAGGTGTGTGTTTCCCTTGCCCGTTTAACTCGGGATTCCACAAGGCAGAGGCAACGGCCAAGGCTGGGTGTTTGGCGATGGATTTCACAAAGCGCGTGCCAGCAGAAAGCATGCCCTGCTAAGGCTTCTGCATCTTGCCAAGGGGTTTTAATTATAGCTTAACACAAAGCTGATTATTTAGAAAGTGTAAAGGAACATAGCATTCCTGCAAACTACCAATGACTTTTTTTCTACCTTTAAGCAGTTACTTAAATCTAGTATGACATTTATGCATCCATACTATGGGTTTATTTTTGATTCTGGGAATGTGGTTCTTACTCCTAAAGCATGGCTCTTCTAGAATTTTGATGTAAAATCTTTTGATGTGCCCTGGCCGGTTTGGCTCAGCGGTTAGAGCGTCGGCCTGCGGTCCTGAGAGACCCGGGTTCGGTTCCCGCTAAGGGCGCGTACCTCGGTTGCAGTTTGTCCCCGGCCCTGGTGTGTTGTGCGGGTGGCAGCCACTCGATGTGTTCCTTTCACATCAATGTTTCTCTCTCTCTGTTCCTCTCTCTCCCTCCCACTCTACCTGAACAAAAAATGAAAGGATGTCCTCGGGTGAGGATAAAAAAAATAAATAAAATAAAATCTTTTGATGTAAAATCTAAGTCCCTGAACTTTGGGAGGAAATGAACTCCAAACTCTGCCTCCCCTGAGGTGGGAGCTGCTGAGATCTTTACATGGCTTCTCCAGCTACTGGCTACCTGGATTCCTGCCCCAGGCATTCACTGCTGAGGAATCAGCTGGCAGACACAGATTTCTGAACCACCGCACCTGGGGCTCCCGTTTCCAGTCCCCCTCCCTAGAATTTAGCAACTCAAACTTCTGACTCCGCAGCCTGTGAGACTGATGCTTCTGAACCAAATTCTGACCTCTTATTTTGCATGTCCTTGGAAAGAAATATTTTCAGTAGTTAAGAACACAGGTCTTTGATGTCAGAAAGAACACAGGTCTTTGATGTCAGAAAGTGAGTGCAAAAATCCTAGCTATACCAGCTATCAGTTGTGTGACTTTGAGCAAGTTGCTTGATCTAAAACCACGTTTATTTGATTTTTTAATCCTCACCTGAGGATTTTTTTTTTTTCTATTTATCATCAGATACAGTGGGAGAGAGGGAGAGAAAGAAACATCAATGAGAGAGAGAAACACTGATGTGAGAGAGACACGTCCACTGGTTACCTCCCACATGACCCAACCAGGGCCAGGGCCAAACCGCAACCGAGGTACGTGCCCTTGACCGGAATCAAACCTGCGTCTCATTGGTCTATGGGCAGGGGCTCTAACCATTGAGAAAATCCGGCCAGGGCTGGAACCATGTATATTTAAAAAAGAGTAATACATTTTCCTAGGGTTTGTTCATTTCACTCGACAGATACCTGAGCTCTTATCATGAACAGTCACTCTTCTAGGGACTGTACGCACAGCGCTGAACAAAACAGACAAGAATCTCCAGCCCAGTACAGCCTGCACTCCCACGGAAAGGAAGAAACATACATAAACGAGATACTATTAGTATGTTGGAAGATGATGATTACGACAGAAAAAACAGCACAGATAAAGGCAGATGAGGAGTGCCAGGGGAGAGGTGAGGACGCGTTTCAATACGGGTGGTCAGCGTATGCCTCACCAAGGTGACTTTTGAGCAAAGATTTTAAGGTGAAGACATGAGCTAAGATATTTGGGGAAGACTATTCCTGGCGGAAGTAAAAATGAGTGCCAAGTCCGCGAGGCAGGAGAGGGCCTGGTAGACGTGGGGACCGGAAGGAGGCCAGCTCGGCTAGCAGAACGGGGAAAGCAGGAGCGCCCAGGTCTCAGAAGTGAGTGCGCCAGCGCACGGGGCAGCCTGCAGAGGGCCCTGCACGCCGGGACTGGGGCTGCTCCGTGTGCCACGCACTGCACTGCACCTTGTGATCGTGTGAACATGGCCCCTGGGACTGCAGCACAGCGCTTCTGGCCTTTACAAGATTTCATCTTTGACTCTGAATGAAATGGGAAACCTTTGGAGGCGTCTGAGTAGAATCGTAGCATGATGAGACGTGATTTTAATATGATCAATGACTGGCTGCTGTGCTGAGAACAGTAAGGGTGGATATAAGGAGCTCACTTGCTTTGCAACACATAAGGTGAGAGATGACGGTAGCTGGAGGAAGGTGACAGCTGTCCTGGGACTTAATTGTACTTAGAATTGGACTGGTGCAGTTCCGAGGTTTAAAAAGTGAAATGGCGCCCTGGCTGGTTTGGCTCAGCAGTTGGAACGTCGGCCTGCAGATCAGAGTTGCAGGTTCGATTCCATCAAGGGCATGTATCTCGGTTGTGTTTGGGTCCCCAGCCCTGGTTGGGGTCATGCAAAAGGCAACCAATCAATGTCTTTCTCACTTCGATGTTTCTCTCTCTGTCTCTCTCTCTGTCTCTCTGTCTCTCTCTGTCTCTCTGTCTCTGTCTCTCTCCCTCCCTCCCTCTTTCTCCCTTCTACTCTATCTGAAGATAAATGGGAAAAAAAGTCCTCGGGTGAGGATTTTAAAAAAAGTGAAATGGAGCAAGGAGTTTTCATTTTCAACAAGACCTCTGAGGGCTGAGGCTGCGCTGGAGTTGCCCTTCTGGTCTCTGTTTGTCTGGAGATCGAGCAGCTCTGTCAGGGGAAGGTTGGGGCTTGCCCTGGAAACTAAAAACAACTTAGCCAGGCAGTGGGACAACAAATAAAACAAAATTGAGAAAGGACGCCAGGGATACTACTGCATTTGAGTTGAATCTGTTATTCTCTTGGAAGCGAGCAGAGGAAGCAGGAGTGCGAACAGGCTGTGGGAAGGAGCTAGCAGCGGCGTCAGCATGGTGAGGGGAAGCAGGAAACCCAGATGCTCGCTGACATCTGAGAGTCGATTCTTCTCAGCTTTAGAACTCAAGGAATTCTCCCGCCCCCACCCTTTTCCAACTGGGCATGAATTACAGTTCTTCATCTAAAAGACTTATTTAAAAGCGCAGATTGAATAAAGCATGTGAGTGGAAAATAATACTAGAATTATTTAAGTTCCACCCTGCCTAGTGTGTTCTTGATCCATGCTGGCTTGTCTACCCCGAGTAACTTCCCTCTCAAAATTATGGATCCATTAGATTTCTAGAAATGACATTTCGTAAGTCTTTGTCAGTTTCTTCCATAAGAAACTGCAAGGGTGAAGTTCTTTATTTTTGTTTTTAAAGCTGATGCTGACTGCTTTTGTTCTCTGTATGATAGGAAAAATGTCCAGTTTTTATTGCTATTCAAAGGCTTTTGCTTCTGTGTACAGGACAATGAAGACAACATGGGCGCGGTGGGCTCCCCATACACTCCGGACCCCTGCTACTGTATGGAGCAGCATCGTAACCCCGTTTGAGCCAGGTACCTGGGAAAGGACCCGACAGACAAAAATGAAGAGATTTAAAACAGGGTTTGGCTGTCCTTTAAAATCTACATCTTAACACAGCTCACTGCTTTTGGGACTAGACGAAGAAGTGATTAACATCTAAGATATGGGGCACTTTCTATGCGCCTGTTCTCCTTGGATACGATTATTAATGTGATCCTCACAAACAATGCTCTATGGTGGTAGGTACTATTATAATAGTATTATCCCCGGAGAAATTAGGATGATCTCTAGAGAGCAGTGAAACTCAGAGGTCAACTACATTATCCAGAGTTGCATATCCAGGAAGCGGGATAATCCGGAGAACGAGTGTGGGCAGTCTGACCACAAAGTCAGTGATTTCTCATGCTGCGTTGGAACTGCC